CCGCATCCGACCGCGCCCGGCCTTGGCACCCCGGAGACGGTGTATCCCGTCGACAATCGACCGGCCCGCTTGGAGAGCGTGTATCCCGTCGACAGCGGCCGACCGACCGCCCGGCATGGCACCCGGAGACGGTGTATCCCTCGACACGCGAACCGAGCGCCGGCTTGGCACCCCGGAGACGGTGATCCGTCGACACGCGGCCGCATCGACCGCGCCGGCTTGGCACCCGGAGCGGTGTATCCCGCCGACAGGGCGCCGATCCCCCGCCCGGCCTTGGCACCCCGGAGACGGTGTATCCCGTCGACAGCGCGCCGATCCGACGCGCCGCTTGCCCCGGGAGATGTATCTTCGACAGCGCCGCATCCGGTCGCCGCGGCGGGCCGCTCGCGTGGGGCCGGCAAAACACGACACGGCGGCCGATGACTGAAGGTCGACGGACTGGCCGCGGCGCGCCTGATCGGCTCAGATGCCTCCCGCGCAGGGGCCGGCGGCGGCCCTCCGCCGGCCCCGACTCCGGCGAGGTGAGCGGAGGTCACTGGACCGGCGTCACAGGCGTCAGGCGTCGCTGGAATGCAGGCCCGCCGCCAAACGCCTCGTCCGCGGTCGTCACGGACGTGACGATCGCGATGCAGTGTTACGGGCTGTGCTCACGGCAGGTGACGAGGCGGGCGGCCCGGGCGCGCCGGGTCCGGGCCGGGCGTGCCGGGTCCGGCCAGCCCTGCAGGCCTGGGTCCTGACCACGGCCGTGCTGGGTCCGGCCAGCCCTGCAGGCCTGGGTCCTGACCACGGCCGTGCTGAGGTCCAGCCAGCCCTGCAGGCCTGGGTCCTGACCACGGCCGTGCTGAGGTCCAGCCAGCCCTGCAGGCCTGGGTCCTGACCACGACCGTGCTGGGTCCAGCCAGCCCTGCAGGCCTGGGTCCTGACCACGGCCGTGCTGGGTCCGGCCAGCCCTGCAGGCCTGGGTCCTGACCACGGCCGTGCTGGGTCCAGCCGGCCTGCAGGCCTGGGTCCTGACCACGGCCGTGCCGGGTCCGGCCAGCCCTGCAGGCCTGGGTCCTGACCACGGCCGTGCTGAGGTCCGGCCAGCCCTGCAGGCCTGGGTCCTGACCACGGCCGTGCTGAGGTCAAGCCCTGTAGGCCTGGGTCCTGACCACGGCCGTGCTGAGGTCCAGCCAGCCTGTAGGCCGGGTCCTGACCACGGCCGTGCTGAGGTCCGGCCAGCCCTGCAGGCCTGGGTCCTGACCACGGCCGTGCTGAGGTCCAGCCAGCCCTGCAGGCCTGGGTCCTGACCACGGCCGTGCTGAGGTCCAGCCAGCCCTGCAGGCCTGGGTCCTGACCACGGCCGTGCTGAGGTCCAGCCAGCCCTGCAGGCCTGGGTCCTGACCACGGCCGTGCTGGGGTCCAGCCAGCGGATGCACTGAGGTCCAGCCAGCACTGCAGGCCTGGGTCCCGACCACGGCGCGGCCAGCCGAAGCGAAAGTATCAAGGCCCGAATATCCAAAAATTCACCATTATGACCGGGAATCAAGAAATGTCCGAAACATTTTCCTTACAATAAGCATAAACTGTCCGGAACTATTAAACCTTCTATGATGGATATGTTTTGCTCTATGCACATTTTATTATTTGCTACGTGGATCAGGTAAGATCAAGTTTCTTTAAAATTCATATAGCAATGCATAGTGATCCGCTTCACTACATGCATATATTATACCCATCGCTATCACGACGCGGAAGACGGCCAGACGCCACGAGGCCTCGCATTCCGTTGGCTCGTCGCGCGGCCTTGCCGCGACTGCCGGGGCGTCCGGATCGGCGCCGGAGATCGAGACAAAGCCTTGATGGTGCTCGCAGTGCCCTGCCGCTGCTCGGGCAGGCTCCAGCTGCCAGCTGACAGCGCCGTACCGCGTCTCCCTCGTCTCGAGTGGAAACCAGCATCGACGTCAGCGTTGCGGCCGGCGGAACGCCGCCGGTCGCGTGCAGTGAGACAGCCCCGGATACCGCACACGACGTCGACGGCGTGACACGGCGTGACACGGTCGCACCGGATCACGCCGACCGCCCTGGGGTGTCGGTGACGGGCTGGCGCCGGAGCAGGTCGGACGATTGATGTCTATTGTCGACCGGACCTCGTGGGCCTCGTCTCAGGTCGACTGTCCAGATTAGAACGCCGCTACGTGGTGCAAAGGCCAACTGATTTCTTCTCCGTCTTGTAAGTCGGTCGTACTGGTTGCGACCAAACGTCAGCTCCCACGCTAACGCATGGTTTTTTTTGGACGACCGGCCCATTGGGCTACCTCGCGGACTTCGCAGCGACCTTGGACGGACTCGTTCCGCGGCGACCGGACTCGTTCCGCGGCGACATTCTGTGATTCCATCGCATCCCATTCCGCCAGTGGCCGTGTCCAGGCGGTCAGAGCATCAAGTGTCCAGCGTCCAGCCTCCACCGCCGCAGGAGGACAGATCGCTGCCAGCCTCCGCCGCCGCCAGAGGACAGATCGCTGCCAGCCTCCGCCGCCGCCGGAGGACAGATCGCTGCTAGCCTCCGCCGCCCCCGGAGGTCAGATCGCTGCCAGCCGTCCACCACCGCCGGAGGACAGATCGCTGCCAGCTGTCCACCACCTCCGGAGGACAGATCACTGCCAGCCTCCGCTGCCGCTGGAGGACAGATCGCTGCCAGCCTCCGCCGCCGCCGGGGGACAAATCGCTGCCAGCCGTCCACTACCGACGGAGGACAGATCGTTGCCAGCCTCCACCGCCGCCGGAGGACAGATCGCTGCCAGCCGTCCACCACCGCTGGAGGACAGATCGCTGCCAGCCTCCGCTGCCGCCGGAGGACAGATCGCTGCCAGCCTCCGCCGACGCCGGGGGACAAATCGCTGCCAGCCGTCCACCGCCGCCGGAGGACAGATCGTTACCAGCCTCCACCGCCGCCGGAGGACAGATCGCTGCCAGCCTCCGCTGCCGCCGGAGGACAGATCGCTGCCAGCCTCCGCCGCCGCCGGAGGACAAATCGCTGCCAGCCTCCACCACCGCCGGGGGACAAATCGCTGCCAGCTGTCCACCGCCGCCGGAGGACAGATCGTTGCCAGCCTCCACCGCCGCCGGAGGACAGATCGCTGCCAGCCTCCGCCTCCGCCGGAGGACAAATCGCTGCCAGCCTCCGCCGCCGCCGGAGGACAAATCGCTGCCAGCCTCCGCCTCCGCCGGAGGACAAATCGCTGCCAGCCTCCGCCGCCGCCGGAGGGCAAATCGCTGCCAGCCGTCCACCACCGCCGGAGGACAGACCGCTGCCAGCCTCCGCCGCCGCCGGAGGATAAATCGCTGCCAGCCGTCCACCACCGCCGGAGGACAGATCGCTGCCAGCCTCCACCGCCGCCGGACCGCATTCAGCCGAGCGTAGTGGTGGCGCCGGCGGCCAGTGGCTAGGCCCGTCGGCGGCCAATGGCTAGGCCCGCCGGCGGCCAGTGGCTAGGCCCGCCGGCGGCCAGTGGTTAGGCCCGACGGCGGTCAGTGGCTAGGCCCGCCGGCGGCCAGTGGCTCGGCCCGCCGGCGGCCAGTGGCTAGGCCCGCCGGCGGCCAGTGGCTCGGCCCGCCGGCGGCCAGTGGCTAGGCCTGACGGCGGCCAGTGGCTAGGCCCGCCGGCGGCCAGTGGCTAGGCCCGCCGGCGGCCAGTGGCTAGGCCCGCCGGCGGCCAGTGGCTAGGCCCGACGGCGGCCAGTGGCTAGGCCCGACGGCGGCCAGGCGGCAGCCCACGCCGGACGCGGAGGCCTCCGCGGGTGCGTACGGAGGTCGCGGTCCGCGGCGGCGAGGGGACGGGTCAGTCCGTGGCGGGCGGTGGGGAGCGCCGCTGCGGACGCCGAGCCGCAGGAGACACGGTGCGCTGACCGGGGACGAGGTCCAGGGACCAGGGAGGACCGGGCACCGGGGGGGGGGGGGCGGGGACGACGACACGGGACCGGGGATGAGGCGCTGCGCTGCCCGCCGCTGATAAAACAGACAGTGCAGCTTCGCCAGATCAGATCAGCTGACGACCTCGGGCTCAGCTGGCTGCGAGTAGGCGTCGGATCACGGTCCGTCAGGCGCATAGATCGCGGCTCGTCCGCCCGCCGGGGACACGCCAGCAGTCGGCCTCCAGCGCTGAGCGGGCCCAGGCAGCGGTCGGCCTCCAGCGCTGAGCGGGCCCCGGCAGCGGTCGGCGTCCAGCGCTGAGCAGGTCCCGGCAGCGGTCGGTTTCCCTGACGGGTCCCGGCAGCGGTCGGTTTCCCTGACGGGCCCCGGCAGCGGTTGGTTTCCCTGACGGGCCCCGGCAGCGGTCGGTTTCCCTGACGGGCCCCGGCAGCGGTCGGTTTCCCTGACGGGCCCCGGCAGCGGTCGGTTTCCCTGACGGGCCCCGGCAGCGGTCGGTTTCCCTGACGGGCCAGATCCGCCGAATCCCGGTCCGAGCGGTGCAATTTGTTGCGCAAAAAAAAACGTTGCCACACTGAAAAAATACCTCTCCAGGTCTGTCTCTTTGCGTCACTGAACTGCGGTACGCGTGGTTAAATTATATCCTGAATGAGTTACTGTTACTTCCGTGCAAATTTCACACAACTTCCACGCACAATTTACTATATCGGCGGAAAGGTTGTAGTAATCGCTGCTTTTGATGGACTGCGCATTCATTTGTAACATTATGACATCTGTTACTTCCATTTTGTAATTCGTTCAACGGTTTGTTTAAAAAATCCTCACAACTGCACTTATTGAACGAGCCATTCACGACATGTTTACTCCCCTGTAACAACAACCTGTACCTTCCACCACTCCAGCACCCCGAACTCACACTGACCGCCGTCCCCCTCCCCCGTACACGGCCGTCGGTCCCTCCGACTGGCGCCAGCCCCGCCACCGCGCCCGCAGATGTCGCCCTGGAGCACTGGCGGCCGGCCGCGGCCGCCGCCCGCCCGCACTCGGGCCGCGGCCGCCGCCCGCCCTCGGGTCGCTCTCGGAAAGGATACGTATATCCGGTCGTGGTCGTAGCGCACATGCAGCGTGCGGTTGATGCCGGCCTCGTCGATGTCCGAGATGACGGTCATGTCGGGCACGCCGTCCTCTGGCCGGCACCCTGCAACGACCCCGGCGTCGGTCATGTCGGTGGCGCCGTGTGGGGCACGACGAACACGCACGAGACGCTGCCCAATCTGCGACAAGGTCTCCTGAGGTCATGCTGAAAAGGGCACGGGTTGTCACCGCCGATAAGAAAACGCATGCCATTATAAAACAATGCCAGTAAGGGTCATTTTGGGAACAGTATACAAAAAAGGTAATTTTTTGGGAACAGTATACAAAAAAGATAATTTAAACGATGAACTGCGCGCTCCAGATATGATCCCAAGGGCAGCTGGAGCCAATGGACTTGATGCAGCGGGCGTCCCAAGAATGCTTTCAAAATGCCTTCAACTGAAGCTAAAATGTTCCCCATTGTGGGCACTGTGTATTACATTTATCATTTCTGACTATTGGCGCATACATTGTTAACTGTTATGTACACTTGTATTATGTCTTCTTGTATATCGTCGTTTCATTTAGGTCTAGCGCCACCGCCTAGATAAAAGATACCGTTTCCGTCATGTTGAATTCACAGAAAGCCTCGCATCAACTTCACTAGAACATGACAAACGAGCAGAGTAAATCACGTCTTAGAACACACACAGAATATACTGCTTCTCAGGTCAGTATATATAATGTACTGCTTCTCAGGTCAGTGCTCGCGAATAAGCCCCTCTCACCCGGATCACGACAGACCAAGCGTCGCCGGAGGGAGCCCAGAGCAGAGTGGACGGAGAATGCGAGCCTGTCTCTGCCGGCGCGTGGGCGCGCCCTGACAACAGCTTCGTCACGGCGACAGCCCGACTGGGGCGCAGCGGGAGACGAGGCACGCAGATGTTGGAGACCGCGCCGGCAAAAAATCGGCCCCATTTATCGTATGTTCCGCACGCGGGCAGCTACCAAGGCGTGCAGGGGGAGCCCGGCACAAACGCCCACATCAGAGGAGCTGGGCAGTGAGGTATTATCTTACACATGCGACGCATCCCCGCACGGGTGAGCGTATCACATCCGTCATCAGAGGACCGCGCACGCGTGCCAAGCCGTCTGCATTGTCCTCGCGCCAGCGGGCTCCGGCGGCTGCCACCAGCGATTAGGCAATGCCACCCGGCCGCTCGGAGTGGCCACTGACCCGGCGACTGACCTCCGGCTGACCTCCAGCGGCACATCTTGCGCCGCCCGGCGCCGGCGGTGCGGAGGGCGGACACAGGAGCTACACCAGCGGCCGGCGCGGCACGAGCCGCTGGTGATGGTGGTGACAGTGCCGCCCACACGGGCTGACAGACTGGCGAGGGCGTGGGAACCGATGGTGAGGCAAGGTATAGGGACGGTTGCCCCTCCCCCCCCCCCTCCCTCCCACACACACACACAACGTCGGGAACTAGCTCCTCCAACAAAAGCTTGGCAATTTACTGTACCGAGTACCGTACCTCGGAGAGATGGATTACAGTCTTCTCTCCTTCACTGCAAAGTGCGTTCCTGGACTCTGCCACCGTGCAACTGTGGCCGGCGGTGTGACAGCGTAACTATAGCCCACACTGTGACCGTGCAACTATGGGGGAAGCAATGTGGCTGTGACCAACATATATTGGCCGGCGGTGTGACGAGCCTGCAACGCAACCGTGCAACAGTGGCCAACAGTGTGGCCACACGGCTATGGCCGGCAATCTAACCGCGCAACAGCGATCCAGAGACCAACCGTGCGACTCTGGGGCCGACAGTGTGACCGTAGCGCTGTGATCGGCGGTGTGACCGTGCGTCCGTGAGCTGATCGGCGGTGTGACCGTGCGTCCGTGAGCGTCGGCGCGGCCGCGCCCGTCTCCGCGCCTCCTGCTGCCGACCGCCGGCCAAAGCCAATGACGGCGCGTCCTGCGGTCGGCGGCGGCCAGCCGGACCGGAACCCCGCCGCCACCGGAAACCGTCCGTGATGACGTTCAGAACCACCCGACGCGTGGACGGCCGGCGGAGGCGGCGCAGACAGCGGTGGCGGACATGACGCAGTCGCCGGTGGAGCCTTGCCGAGTTCGGACGAGCCGGCGCTGGTGGCGAACGCCCCATGTCGGCTTCCGTTGCGAAACGCGCCTCCCAGACACGGGCGGTGATTCAGGGATTCCGGACACGTGAACACGATCCGGCGGCCCGGAGAGCAGGGTTGGAGCCCCACTCCGGTGATTCACCGCGCGAGGACGCGCGTCTGTTGACGCACAGTCACCGCCGCTGCCTCCCCCCCAGCTGAGTCAGCCACCTGCGGCATCGCTCCGCGCTATGGACCGATACGGTAGCTTGTCTGACCAGCCATCGACCCAACGACTGCACCTCGAGGACTTTTGCGGCTGCCGGGGAGTTGGGCTGTGCTGGAGTTCATCGGCTTGGAAGAGCGGCCGGACCCCGCCAAACCAGCCGGCAGACAGGGCCGGGCCGCCGGCTGGTGACGCGGCGGTTGGGTCCCGGGCGCCGATCAACTCCGGTCCCGCGGGCTGAACAGCAGCACCGCCAGCCAGGCGCTGCCAAAGAGCTGGCCGCACGGGGCGAGCTCACATCCGGTCCCGCGGGCCGGACAGCGGCGCCGCCAGCCAGGCGCTGCCAGAGAGCTGGCCGCACGGGGCGAGCTCACATCCGGTCCCGCGGGCCGGACGGTGGCACCGCCAGCCAGGCGCTGCCAGGGAGCTGGCCGCACGGGGCGAGCTCACATCCGGTCCCGCGGGACCGAACAGCAGCGCCGCCAGCCAGGCGCTGCCAGGGAGCTGGCCGCACGGGGCGAGCTCACATCCGGTGACGTCGGAGCCGGGCGAGACTGAGACCACGCCGTGGTGGAGAGGCAGGGAAACACAGAGCAAGAGGAGCAGCGACATGGACTCGCGAATGCTGTAGGTAACTGCGCATACAGGGATTCACACACGGTGGCCAGATGGTTTTAAACGATCGATCATCATATACGAATGTATAGCGCTTCGGTTGGACGTTTCACACCGGTGACGAGCTTCACTATGCGGCTCCAGTGGCGTGGTGCGCAAGACGCGAGTAACTAGCAATTTCCTCACTTCGACCGAGCTCCTGCGACTTCTACCGAACTCCCGCGAAATCGCTCATCTACCATAAACCACCTGGTACATGGCTCTCTTGCACCGTGTTTCCTCTTCCCATGGCTACGTGTCTGGTGTGCTCTCCGCCTGGGGGAGGGTTCTGCAGTCAAGCGTGCACTAGGGTGACAGCAGCGTTCACCATAAGCTCACATCGCGATAGAGCGAGGAGACACGCGGTACGTGACGGGTTCACAGCGCACGAGCCACTGTTCGACGTGTCGGCACCCATCCAAACCAATTGTCGTCAGCATAGGGCCTCGCGGACCAACTGCGCTCGCTCAGCGCCCGCCTGCGAACATCCCTGGCCGCACCCCACCGGCTGGAGCACGTGGCGACACCCTACCCGTCTGCAGCAGTGCAAGCCCTGGAAAAAGCCCATGAGGCACAGCTCGATGCAGTCATCGCAGCTCCCTCGTGACTACAGCTAGAGGCATCCATATGCGCCTACCTCATGGGTGGGGAAGCTAGCGAGTAGATCGTGTGCGCTCTCAAATTACTGCTGTTGATGTTGCAGCAATTTGAAAAAATGTCGTGAGGCCCACAGGTATATCCCGTCCCACTCGACAACCGCAGACGCCTACGCCTTGCGTGCTCGCTTCCTGACCACTCGGCACGTCTCTGAGCCGCCCGGCCCCGGTGGCGGCTCCGGCGACACACGGGAGGTGGCCGGCGAAGTCTCCCGCGGTCCCGGCCGTCCGCCGGGCCGGCCGGGACCGCGGCGCCAGCAACCGGCCGCCGCCGCCGCCGCCGCCGCGCCTCGCGCCCAGGCGCCGCCTTGTCGCGCGCGCCGGCGCCTTTCCGACGGGAATGTCCGCGGGCGCGGCCCCGGCCGCCGCCGGGCCGCTATGATGGCCCGGCCGCCGCTGAGGACGCCGACCGGCGCCGGCGCCGCCACCGCTGCCGCCGCCGCCGCCTCCAGGACGGTGGAGGTGCGGCAGAGGAGCCGAGGGCGCAGGAGTGGCGCGATACGAGCTGAGATGGTGGGATAACGGGTAGGGACGGCAAGGTGGAACACAGGACAGGTGGGACACGGGAACGGGACGAAGCTACGCAGGAAGGGAAGGCAATACGCGACCTAGGGGCGGGCAGACAGGACAGGCACGACGGGGTGCGAAACAGGGACGGCGGAATACGACGCACACACTTCACGTGCCGCCGGCATTCAGCCTCAGCACACCGAGCCCGCGCCGACAGCCGGCAGCCGCGCCGGATGCGCCGACCCGGCGCTGGTGAGAGGGAGAGAGTCCACTGAGAGGCCGGCGGTCGCCCGGCCGCCGGCACAACACGCCCTCCCCGGTGAAAGGCGCGCTGAACGTGGAGGGCGATCGGATGAAGCACGGGAGGCCCATTTGATATAGTGCTCCACACACCGAGACTACGTTGTTACGCTATCCGCCTGGGGGCCATTCATGAGACGCCGGCTGTTCCACAGCCGCCCTGTATCTTGGCTCGCAGTTATGTGTGGGTGGAGGCGCTACGGCCCGCTCGGGACACGCACACATCAGTCACATGTGTGCGTGCCTAGAGCGGTGGCCACATGTTTACCCGCTCGCTTGCACGCCTGCGAATGCGTACATGAGCAAACAGAAGTGCACCAACGTCGTTAAAAACAATGGTTTCGCGTGTCAATGCGCCGTCGGGTGAAGAAAAAATGCTAGTGTTTCATGTTCGCCGTTCAGTTCGTAGAATTCGTCTTTCGGCTGATGCGTAAGTGCAGGAGAATTAAACGCTGTCATCTAGCGGCACACGTCCAGTCGGTGGAGCAGCTGGCGGCGTCCGGGTCAGTCCCGGGACGTGTCCGTCCCAGGGCGGCCTTGACCCATCATCGGACGCCATCTGATGCCGGCGCAGACTGCCGCCGGCCGAGCCTGTTGACGAGCGGCGCCGCCAGCCGGCGCGGCGGGGCAGGTGGGGATCACGGGCATCACCTGCCAACTGCCGCCGACCACCGCCTCCTCCGCCCACCTGCTGCCGGGACCACGTGACCCCCTCCCCCTGGCGGGCGCGTCTGGAGGCCCAGCCGACAGCTGGCGGGGAGGGGGGGAGGGGGGGGGGGGCACAGGTCCAGAGCCGTAACCGCGAGACAGCGGCTGCTTTGCACCGCGGTGAACACAGATGCGTTTGTGGTGAGAATCCGGCAATGGGGCAATGATGTGGCAAATGAACCGACGTATTGCATCACCGCGGGGAGTTCCACACAGAAAAGCCGTGCAGGATCCGACGACAAAACATCGCGACAGTTCGGGCGCGGGTCGGTCCGACCGCTATGGCGGGGTTCGCAGGTGCGTGCTGACACGCGGGTGTGACCACGAACGGTCAAAATTGGTCAGTCACAGTCAGGCGTCACGGCAGTGGGGACGAGGAGGACGGTCGTCTGCAGGTGCTCCTCGCTTCTGCGTCGCAAGGAGGACACGAAGAGGTGGGGGGGGGGGGGATCGGGAAGGGGTTAAGGCTATCGAGTGTCTGCCGCCGACGACGACACCAGGAGTCAGCACCCTGGCCCCGCTGCGTCGCTAAGAGACGGAATTCCGAGGTTTCCGACAGTGCCCCCGACAGAGCGCCGTCCACAACAGCCCTGTACGGACGGTCTGCTGTTTGGGGGGGGGGGGGGTAAAAGGGGCCGAGGCGACGGCCCGAGGCGGATCCAGGCTGACTGATTGGTCGGGGCGGCTGTCGCGTGGGGCGGACGGGTTCCGGTCTGGCCACTCAACTTGTGCGCTGCCGTCTTCCCCGCCCCTTCTTCCAGCTTCATCATGACACAGCAGCTGAACAACGACAAGACGCGTTTGGGACGGAGGTAGACTTGTCTGAATCTGTACCCTCCCCCCCCCCCCACGCCCTCAGTCGTTACTGGACTTGTCTCGCCCCACCCCCTCAGCGGCAGGTGCCACGTTCGGACAGGATACAAGGTGAACGAGGTAAGTCGGCCGGCGGCGGGCCTTCAATTACAGGGGATAAATCGACGGAGAGGTGACAAGTGGACGACGTGCGCGGAGACAGATGGCGCTCTGTTTTGAGCCCTCTCTCCAGACCAACTCCGGGTTCACGGAGCGACCAACGTGGGCAATGGGAACAATACCAGGTAGCTTCGCTGCTGATTACTGCGTAGTTGGCCACAATATCCCTCATGATGAAGAACTTCGGAGTAAATGGCCTAGTACAATGTGATGTGATATGATAGCTTAATGATAATTGGATAGTGCTATGATAATCTAGTGATGGTAATCGGAGGCACGTGATCAATGCATCGAGCATAGTTAGCGGACACCGACAATATCTTTTCGAGGAGGAGGCAAACCTGTCGAGGTTTGCCTCCTCCTCGTGGCTCAATGTGCCTCCAGACCCGCACCAAATGTACGCGTTGGAATGGTCAAACATTTGATAACTACATTTCAGGAGCGCTTTGGTCTCCTTCCAAATCGCAGCCTTCACTTCCAGTAAGCATCCCTGTAATCTAATGAGAGCGATCCAATAAGTCAACCACAGGATAAGTGGCGCGATAAAAGTTCATTACGCTGGAATGCCATTTATCACGAAACGGGGCTGCACTTTATTCGTGTGCATTCCCCACATCGTCCACGTGTGAAGCGAGCTACTGCAGACGTCAAGGCCAGCTTTGTTGTGTAATCCGGACGTGGCGAGGCGTCCGGTCCCGATCCTCGGACCAGATAGACGGCCGCGCAGCCGGCCAGGTCGCCAACGGGACGCAGGTGGCCGGCTAGCACTGGACTCACGAAGGCGCCACCTCCTCCGCCTGAACGCACAGCAGTTCCCGCCTTCGGACAATGCTGCAACGCAAACTAATGCCCGCGCCAGACCTCACTGCCGCACGAATGACGCCTCCACGTCATCGGCGTCTCGCCTCACGAGCCAACGTTGCACTCCCCGGACTGGACTTTCACTTATCTGAACACCACAAACCGGTGTTCCTGTAACGGTGACGTTCGTTTGCGGTTCGGTACCGGATGCCGCACTGGCGCCAGATCCCTCGTGACACAAAGCTCCCCTCGCCCCGCCCGTCCCATCATCACCACGCGGCCAGCACGCCCCTCTGGTCCCGCCCGGCATGGTTCACGTGCCACTCCGGCTCCCCTCGGAGTGCCCAGCGGGTCCCCTCGGAGTGCCCGGTGGCTGTCCTCGGAGTCCCAGCGGCTCCCCTCGGAGTGCCCGACAACTCCCCTTGGAGTGCCCGGCAGCTCTCTCGGAGTGCCCGGCGGCTCCCCTCGGAGTCCTCAGCGGCTCCCCTCGGGTACCCGACAACTCCCCTCGGAGTGCCCGGCAGCTCTCTCGGAGTGCCCGGCGGCTCCCCTCGGAGTCTCCAGCAGCTCCCCTCGGGGTGCCCGACAACTCCCCTCGGAGAGTCCGGTGGCTCCCTTGGAGTGCCCGGCGGCTCCCCTTGGAGTGCCCAGCAGCTCCCCTCGGAGTGCCCGACAACTCCACTCGGAGTGCCCGACAACTCCACTCGGAGTGTCCGACGGCTCTCTCGGAGTGCCCGGCGTCTCCCCTCGGAGTGTCCGGCGACTCCCTCGCAGTGCCCGGCGTCTCCCCTCGGAGTGCCCGACAGCTCCCCTCGGAGTGCCCGACAACTCCCGGCCGCCTTCCGCTGGCGTCCGGCCGCGACCCGCCGGACAATGGCGCGGTAAAAACGGCCTGCGGCGCGCCGAAGCGAGCGTGCAGCGCGCGCCGCACGCACGGCACGGCCGACCGCCGGCCGCGCAGACGGCGCTGTTGTCCTCCGGCGGAGGAGAGCGTCGTTGTTGTGCCCCGGCGGAGGGGGCGGCGCCGGCAGCGGACGCTCGGCAGTCCGGGCACGTACACGACGGCGTCGGCATGGGAGTAAACCATACGCGCCGCTCGTTTGGGCGAGGCGGCGGGGCTGCTGCCCGCAAGCCGGATCAATTCGCGGCCTGAAGGGAGATGATCCGAGCCGGTAGCACGTGGCAGCTGCTGCAGGCTGCAACTTCTTGCACGCTTTTCAGTTCGTCACGAGCTGCTGCCTCCTTTGGCTTCGTGGAGAGGCTGCTAGGCTCTCTCAATAAGAACAGTTTTAGGTGGCTGCGCAAGCTACGCTTCAGTTTTCCGCTACGGGCATGCATGTGCGACTGGGGGGGGGGGGGGGGGGGGTGAGCAACCAACGGCTACCCACCTGTTTTGGAAGTCAAACATTCATTAACCTCTTCATTTTACGAGTCACTGTATGCTTATTATATATATATATATATATATATATATATATATATATATATATATATATATATATATCTTCTCTCTGGTATCTCTGTCTCTCTGTCTCTCTGTCTCTCTGTCTCGCTCTCTCCTCGTCTCTCTACCATCTCCGCTCATCCGCATCCTAAATCTCCTCCACTCTCTCTCTCTCCTCTCCTCTCTCTCTCTCTCTCTCTCTCTCCGCCTCTCTCTCTCTCTCTCTCTCTCTCTCTCTCTCTCTCTCTCTCTCTCTCTTCTGCGTGTGTGCGTGTGTGCGTGCGTATGCATTAATATGGTGTGGCCAAAATAATATGGTATCTCCCAGGTTTTTATGTTACACATGCTACGCTTTGTTTCTCCTACAAAACATATCCCTGGACGGAGCATGCAAGATATCTGAGATACTGCGTTTTTCCGCCTGCCTTCCGTCCTTTTAGTCGATTAGTGCATGCGTGTCAAATCCTACTCCCTGCTGGACGCGCCAGGGTCTCCATGGCTGATCGACCTAGCATGGACACCAAACCAGGACCGCCAGTCCACACGACCCTAAGACCGTGCAAACTGCTCGAAGGTAGAGCGCCATTGACCTGTGTGCAGGGGGGCCGCCACAGATTCTGAGTTGGGGCAGGATCTTCCAGGGGCCTCCTGAAAAAAGTTGAGTCCTATCACAGGGGGTGTACTGGACAGTGTCATATTCTGGGGCGGGTGACACAGGGGCCAAGTGACCCTTTATAGAATCATTTCACATGTCAATAGTCGCGTAAATTAAATGCTGACCACCAAAAATTCAGAGCAGGAACCTGTCCAGGGATACAGGAGTCTTCCCGGTCCAGGAAAAGACCTTACGCAAACACAGGGCCTCCTGTTCACGAAAGGCCCCCTGATGCATAATGGGACTTATGCATCCAGAACAGGATGCCTGCGATTTACACAGTAGGGCTCCATACCTAGCAAAGATTGGTGCAAAGCGGTTACCATCGCCACATCTTTCGTTTGTCTGCACGCCGAGCTTCCAGAGCCCACTGTGTTATTGTTAAAAATGCGTTCGTAGTTTTGCAACTGTTTGGCAGTGCGACATGAAGGCCGAAGAAGGGAAAGCAGAGTGCCCGCAGAGATTCGGGACATTTTCCGGATTCAGGTATGTTGGTTTTTAAATGTGTGTTACAAGCACCTTGGTTACGCCGTGTTACAAACACCTCGCGGTATGCTGACGGTCGACGACTGCCAGCACGAGAACTCTGAATTCATGTCGAAAGCCAGGAGCGAAAAGCTTAAGACCTTTCCTGGTTATATCAAGCGCGTATAAGTTTCAGCACGGAAGCTGGCGTGCGCTGCTCGATCCTCCTTCAGCCCGCAAACTGACCCAGCTCGCGGGCCGCCTGGTGCAACTGCGCGGCCCCGATCACTTCTTACCCAGCAACGACGACACCGTGCTCGTGTGGAAGTGACACCGAGCTGTGGAAGGTCCACTCACTTCCAGCGCTGGCCTCCTCCGATCTACAAAAATTGTGACGCGTGTTTGATCGAACTTTTAGCATGCATCTTTCCACAGGAAACTCAGGGGTCGCAACACGGACTTACCGTGGCTGCCGAAGACCGCCTCCATCCTGGATGGTCTTCGTCCTTTCCCGAATGTAATCCGATTAGCTGGTCATATCCGACCACGACAGGCACTGTTCAGCCGCTGCTTCCACAGGCACACTCCTTACGTACTGGTCACTCGCACACACAGCACGGGCAGCGTCGAAACTGGCCCAATCACCGCCGCACCCCCACCGCTCCGTCCCGCTCACCGACTGAGTCACTGGACGGCGTCAGCTGATGACGCCTGGCGCCGGCGCCACCGACGCTGCCGCGACTTCCGCGACTGCTGCGACATCTAGCGACCGAATCGATAGCTCCTTGGTCGTGACGTCATGTTCCAGCCCAAGGGACCATTGGATGATTGGAGACCAGCAGGGTTATACTGCCATCTAGGAGAAAGACCACCAAGTGATAGTTGAGCACAAAAATCATCGTTCGTGGGTGATTGAGCGGCTGCGCGTTGATGGGCGAAGTATCCCCACCAGGTCCTTCCGTACTACAGTCTTCTACGGGAAATCGGTCGTTATCATAAATTATATCCACGTGAAAAGAGCATTTTGTTTGGTGCGCGAACGTGCTTGCAGTTATTTACAAGTAACGAATTCTGCGCCATGTTTGTCGCAGTACAGGTTACGAGAGAAGTGGGGAAGCGTGAGAGCGCCGTCTGGCGTTCCGCCGTCAATAGCTGCGCGTAATAGTTGTTATTTGTGAGCATTGCTGATAGCTACTTGGCAGCTCAGCCAGTATTGGACGTGGTACATCGGAAGCAAGACGAGGGTTGCTGCCACCTTTCACATTGAATACCTGTGTTGGCCAGTGATTGCGAGGTTCCAGTCAAGAATGCGGATGTTGTTCATTGGTAAGGTTAATGATTGGCTGTTGAAGATGAGTGTCATTGTATGTGCATGGTGTGATAAACATTACCAGAATGTGCAGTCAGCTGCTGTCGCGTAGTTTCCCAGTTGGGAATGGGCACCTAGCAGCAGTTTTAAGGTTTCCCACAACAGGGTTTAGGGAGTATTTTTCCTAGAATTGGCAAAAGACTTGCCTTCTGGGACAGGAATGTAGCTCTTGTTCAGTTCTACATGGAGGGCTCCAGTCTCAGGAATACTGAACTGAAAGGATACTGTCAGGTAAAAAGGACTTCTAAAAATTTCCTCATAAGAGATTCAGCATAGTTTGGCCTAGCCTGAGTTAAGCAAGCATCAGAATCATTGCATTCATGTCACAGTGTCAAGTGCATTGGATGTTTTCTGTGTAGACTAGTAATCAGATCCATGATACTCACTTATGACCAAACTTATATGTTCATTGATGTACAAAGATCATGACACCTGGCACAAAATGGCCATTGAAGTTGATGTGCACTAAAACACCAATGAACAACAAGAGATCATGACACCCTTTGTTTTGCTCATATGAGAAATTAGGGTGTATGTGCTATGTTGGGGCAGATGTAAATGTTTGAAATTCCATGATGATTTGCTTGGATACCTCCCTTTAATTTAGGTCAGAACATGTCAGTACTAAATGACCCATAAAGTTGATGCACCCTAAAACCTAAATAATCACCAAATACCTAGAAAAGTGTGTTAGGTAAATGATGTTGACAAGCACTTGAGTTCTTGGATTGGGATTGTTTATGTGTTTTCCTATGATCAACATATTTGTAAATGGTTTGTTCCCTTCTGTTATGTCATGAGGGCTTTTTTGGTTGCTGGCATATGGGCACTGCATGCTGCATAGGTTCTATGAGTTCATGGTAATTATAGTTTTATTGTGCTATAGGACAGTGTTGATCATGTGGTTGCTGTCATGATGTCCCTGTGGCATGGGTGCATATGGCCCCCAATGCCTCAACCAGAGATTTAGAGGAGAGAGCTCCTGGTGCTTCAGAGCAAGGTAACCTCTCTAGGGAGGGCTGAGTTGCTGGACTGGAGCTCTGATTGGAATAGCATTAAGCTTGCAATAAGATGGTGATTCCCTAGTTCTGCTCTCATCTGGGTGGGATCAACTGAAGAGAAGCCTACCAGAATCAGGTCTAATCCAGGGACCTTCCATCTATATGAACATTCTTATGAACTAACTGCTACTGCTAGGCCATTGGTGGTGCAGTCAATCTTTTTGGTTTTGTCCTGAACATTTTAATCACTGGTTGTTGTTGTTACATGCATAGCATTGCTGTTGGGGTTGGTTCAGATATAAATAGTACCCCATATGCATCCCAATGGTATCCCAAGGGTTACATTTTTGTCTGACTATTGATATAAACTATGTTGGTGTATGACTTATCTTGTTCATAGAGGAAGCTTGTGCAGAACAACCTGCATTTACAATTCATGAGGATATAGCATGACTGTATTCACTCTTGTATGTTAAATCAGCAATAGTGTGATGTTTTTATGTTGTGTTGCTTGTAAATGTTCTATGGCCAAAGGTCAGCTCATTGGTCTGAATTTTGTTATGAAAAATTAGCAATCCCGCTGTTTCTAAGCAGTGCATGATGATATTGCATGGCCACCTTGTTCCTGCCATCTTATCAGGATGCAATTACATATTTTACTGACAGGCTTTTCATGGAATTCTGTCAGCATTCTTTCAAGTAGGGGTGAATGAATGCTCCTCAACTGGAGACCACTTTTTGACCCAGGGTCCAGACTGTGGCTTGGAAAATACTATCTGATCCAGGGCCTAAACTGGGGATGGGAAAATGCAGTCTAACCCAAGTCCCAGACTGTAGATTGCAAAACTATCTGACCCAGAGCCTAGATTGTGAGTTGGAAAACGATGAAAGCACCATCAGGCTGTGGATTGAAAGACACTGTCTGACCCAGGGCCCAGACTAGATTGGAGAACACTATCTGACCCTGTGCCCAGACTACAGATTAGAAATCACTGACTCAGGGTCCAGAAAACATTTGGTAGGCATTGGCACATGCATCCATTAGACTTGCTTATCTTTGGGTAGAGACTTCATGGCCTCTGGAATCAATCAATTCTTTTAAACCATGGTGTAACTAATTCCTCTGATTTTTGTTGAGCATAAGTCATGGTTAAGTTGTTTAAGGCTTACACAAATCAACTATATATATACATATATATATATATATATATATATATATATATATATATATATATATAGGAAACAGAATGTGTACATAGCCTGACATCTTCTTGTGTCCCAAATGGAACAACAGTCATACAATCTATATCATTGTCAAAATAAGCAACCTAGTTTGGTTTTTACCAAGCTCACATAGCTGGTTGTCCTTAAACAGTTGTCACTGGGTCATGTTATGCTTAGTCACAATAAAAGGTAGCTGTCATTTGTGTGCACTGCTTGAAGCAAAGGTTTAGGTCATCCCCAAGCACTGCAAATCAGAGGTAGAATGTATCTTGCTGAAGCAAAAAGTGGGAAAGCTGTAAATGGGATAAGAGGACTGTTGGCCGCACACGTGGACCGTCGCTTCCATGGGAGGGTTAAATTGGGGCCATGTGAGGAGTCTGTCTGCATACATGGCAAATTAGGCTCAGACAGGAATGTTTCTGAGATGCGTGACATGGGGGTGAATGGCGATCTGTTAGAGCCAACGATCGTGGGATTATTTGCGCGGATACTTGCGCAGCGTCTCCAACGTGTCCATGTATGCTGTGCTCAAAAGACCACCGGCGGCGGCGGTCGACTATTTTTGAGAAGGTGCTAGTCGGATTTAAGTAAGTTACCACGCAGCGACTTTGTGTAAGTTTTGTTTTCTGGCAGGATTGGTGGTACGGGTGTCCTGTGTGTTGCTCTTTTTCATCCATCAAATGATGTATGCAACAGCGTGCCTATATTCGTACGTGAAGTGTGTCCACCACACATGCAACGGCCAGCGCGGATGCCCTCTGCCTGCAAAGAACAGTGCAGTCCACTCTGGTAGCACGTAAAACCTGCATTGTTTCCTGACGCTTTGATCCAGGAGCATGAGTATAGGAATGTTCGAAAAGATGAAGCGGTGACGCAGTTAATTTCCTACGAGTATGGTTGAAACAACAAGGAATTGAAAACATTCGTTACAAAAACCGTACACCATCACAGTGTTGACCTTTGGCGATAAGTTTGCACAGAAAGTTTACCCCCCCCCCCCCCCTTTGTCACTACATGATTGTTTCAACAGCACACTGAAGCGAGGCACGAACTACAGCATTTATTCGAGAATCGCGTGTTTCTTGCAGCGGGTGCAGCACATAGTGATTCATTCATCGCCGGCCGGGCTCTCGCAGCCAGGGGCGCGTCCAGCAGCGGTTGTCGTCGGGCGGTCCCGCGGTCCTAACAGCTGCGCACCGCCGTCGGTCGCATCGCACCAATCTGCGTCGACAGGCCGGCGGCCGGTGCGCCCCGGGCGCGCCCCTGCGCACCGCAGCGAAAACCCGCCGGGCGCGCGTAAGCCGCCAACTGGTCTGGTCGCGTGGAGCGCGGGCCGGCGCGGCGCTCCGCCGGCGGCGCGCGGAGCGCGGCGGGGGCCGTGTCGGGACTTGTCCGGCGGCCGCCCGGCTGATTCAGAGCGCCGCCGGCGGTCCCCGGCGACGGCGACGTAGCGGCGCGCCGTCGTGAGTGGCGCCTGGGCGTGACGCCGCGCTCCGACGCTGTGTTCGCCGACGGTGTGTTGGTCGACGGCGTGGCAGGAGTCGGCCCGCAGGAAGGCTGCCGGTAAGTGGTGTAGGCGGGCTGACCGCTGCTCAGCTGGGGTGAAGGCTCATGGCATTCGCTGGGGGCGATTGTTTGTAAACCAGCGGATAGACATTTTGGTTTTGGACGCCCTGTAGCAGATCTTGGGCTAGAGCTTCCTTGCCCGGGGGTCGAGATGTACTTCGGGACAGCCCTTCCAACAGATACACAAAGCTCCACCCAAGGCTATCAGCTACATTTGGGCATTCCGTTGCTGGGATTGTGGTCGCGTACCGTACATCGAGCGCGGAGGAGTGTTGCGTCAGCGAGTCGCGGTTGTGGTCCGGTGATGTGCGCACTCACCTGGACCAGAGTTCCGTGCAGAGTGACCGAAACGCCGGATGGTATGCGGATTTGCGGACAGTCACGGTCCGAATGTTCCCTTCGGCCCAGCGGTTAACACGGCTGTGCCACGACACAACACCCCAACATTGTGTTTACTTGAGGCAAGTCGTGTCGGGTCGTCCGCCGTCCTGTCTAGCCCGCAGCGAGCGCGTGTTTACTATGTACTCCGTGTTTGCAAGCTGTATGGCGGCGAGGCCTTGCTCTTTTCCTCTGCTCGGTCGTGTCCCGGTGTCATTTCTTCGGTTGTGAATTCGTGGCCCGGTTAAGCGTCGTCCCGCGATAAGCGGTGACGTGAACCGTTGGCCGGGCGATGGCGAGTGCACCCGTGGGGCAATGGCGGGTGCGTTCGCCGGACGATGACGGGTGCTCTCGCCAGGCGATGGTGGGTGCGTTCGTCGTCACGAGATCTGCCGCCATTGTCGCTGACTCGCGTAGTGCCGGAAGTCTGCGGTTTGCGGGCAGGAAACCTCGATGGCTCACCCCTTGTCACCGGCACCACGTCCCTGCTTTAAGGCGAGGGAGTAACCGCAGTTGTGATGTCGGGTAACGGTCGTCGAGCGCGGCTGTTGAGTCAAGCCTGCCGCCGCACCCATGTCGAATCGAACCCACGGCCACAACCAGTTGGACCAGAAAAAGCACCGCGTCCGTTGTGTGTGACTCGCCGGTCGGTCGTGGAATCGTGTTTGTGCTTCGCAATGGACGTGCTCCGATGGTCCCAATTTGCGTCGGATAATTGAGGAGCGAGGCTAACACGTTATGACTTTTGCTGCTGAAAATGACTGACCTTTAATATGACCACACTGCTCGCGAGGCATGGTTTCTCATATGGGGGTGGTAGACGCACCATAATCCTTTCAGGCTCCGTTCGTAATTCAATGTACTTACGTATGCGGGCGCCAGGAGAATGCTCGGTGTTAGCTTTCCCGGCCAAGTATCAGTCGACGAGTACGACTGCGTGGGACAAAGCGCTCGATGCAACCTTCTGGCTCACGGCTCCGCATGGACTTCAACGGCACTGCATCCTGATACTGATACTCGTACCTGATGATGATGATGATTTGGGCTTTGGGGCGCACCGACACGTTGGTCGCATGGCGCCCATAACCTACTTTTTATCTAACAGTTGCCTGAAAAAGCGGGGAGATAAGGTTTCGTTCGATATATGACATGAAATTGTACGTCTTCAAGACAACTAAAAATATGACCGTCATGTACTGAGCTGGAATCGTCTCCCAGCATACCACAGATACTGATACCTGCTATACGCGTCCTGGTCCTCCTGACGTGATAGCATGTCTCCGCTATGTTTCCTTATTCGGCTGTACCCCACGCTTTCAGCCGCACTGGATCCATCCTCAGTTTGACTTGCCGCCACAGCTGGCTACGGCCAGCCTGCTGCCGCGCGCGGCGCGCGCCACCCAGCTCCCGCTCCGCGCCCGCCGCCCGTCACGTCCATTCACGTTTGTCGGAACGCGCCGCCGCCCCCCCCCCCCCCCCCCCGACAGATCGCCTGTTTATGCTGCGGCGTCTTCCGGCGCGCAGCGACGGCGGCGGCGGCGGTCGGACCGGGCCCGCAGACGACTGCGAGGAATGCCGCGCTGACCTCAGTCGGCCCGGCTCCGGCGGCTGTCTTGTTTGTTGTGTTGCAGGCCGGGCCCCGTCTCGCGCGTTGATCAGCCCTGAGGCCAGATCAAATGCGGGCCCGACTGGGTCGAACTGCGACGAGCGTGGAACGGCTCGGCTCCGATTCGCCGATTCGTTCTTCGGGTGTGCTTTCGCCGTGCTTTCGTCGTCTCGTTGAGCGGGCTCCGTTGTGCCGTATTCGTGGAACGCGTGTTCGACCCTTGCCCGTTGATGACGTCCGCTGAGTGTCCCGTCTCATGCACTTCCCGCACCCAACTCGAGCATGTATGCCACGTGTGTTTTGCGGGATGCGATAACTCTGTCAGCTATGGGCGGTGGCCCGTGGCCCAAGTGGCGGCTCGTGGTGCCGCACCCGTCGCGACCTTCGCCCGGCGCCACCGCCCCCTTCGCTGACCGGCTCGTCTGCCGTTGCAGGGGGTCCGATATGAGCGACTCGCGTGGGGGAGCGGCGGGCGGCGACGGGCCGAGCCTGGCCCCGCCGCCTCCGGCCTGCGGGGAGCCGCCGGTGCTGCCCTCCGAGGGCGTGTACGGGACGCTGGCGGCGGCCGCCGCCGAGTCCGAGCAGGAACTGGAGGCCGCGCCGGGGTGGGCCGCGCCTCCCGGCTGGTCCGAGCCGTCACCGCCGCCGCCGCCGCCGCCGCCGCTGCCGCCGCCGGGACGCGAGGGTCGCTGGCAGCGCACGCTGCGCGCGCTGCGACTAACGCGCGAGCTGGTGTCGCGCTGCCGGAGCGGCCGGGAGCCGACGCGGCCGTCGCCGGCCGAGGGGCGCGCCGCGGCGCCGCCGGCCGCCGAGTCGCGCCTGCTCGTCTCGCACTTCGCCGAGCTGGGTCGCGACGGCTCGCTGGTGCAGCGCACCGTGCACACCACCGTCGACTACGTGCACCGGCTGGTGCCTGACCTGTTGCGCATCGTCAACAGCCCGTTCTACTGGGGCGAGATGGACCGCTACGAGGCCGAACGGCTGCTGGAGAACAAGCCCGAGGGCACGTTCCTGCTGCGCGACTCGGCGCAGGAAGAGTACATCTTCTCAGTCAGCTTCCGCCGCTATGGTCGGTCGTTGCACGCTCGCATCGAACAATGGGAGCGTCGGTTCAGCTTCGACGCTCACGACCCAGCCGTGTTTGCGGCGCCCACTGTCACCGGGTTGATTGAGCACTACAAGGACGCGGCGCGCTGCATGTTCTTCGAGCCCCTGCTGACGCGGCCGCTGCCGCGCTCGTTCGTCTTCCCGCTGACGCACCTCTGCCGCGCCGCCATCGCCGCCTGCGTCAGCTACGACGACGTGGGCCGGCTGCGCCTGCCGCGCCCGCTGCGCCAGTTCCTCATGGAGTATCACTACAAGCAGCGCGTGCGTGTGCGTCGATACGAGCTGCCCGAGGTGGCCGAGGCGGAGGAGCGGCCGCGCGCTGGTGCCGCCGCCGCCGCCGCCCCGATGCCCCGCGCCAACGCCGTGCCGGGGCTCGTCGTGTGGGATGCCGTCCTCCGGTAGCGGCCACCGTCGGCGCCGGGGATCACGCGGCGCACGTGCTGGTGAACCTTGTCTTGGAGGGGGGTGGGCGCCGAGTGATCCGGACTTTTGTACCGGTCCTGTGCCGGCAGACAGTGACGCTCGCTCTCGCGGGCTCGGTGCCTGGCGCGCTGGACGGTCCGGTGGGCCAGCGGAGCGTGCGACCTCCCGTCGCGGCCCGATCCGCTCGTTAAGCGCAGGCGGCACGTTGCCTAGCTTGACTGCGGTCGTGATATTTGACTCATGTGGCGCGTACGCGATCTGCAGCGCACGTGCCGATATGCGGTAGGATATGGCTGTTTATTTGTCGACGAGAAGAATCTGACTGGCAGGACAGAGCAGAAGACGTTGTTTATATTTTTTGAACTTATTGATGTTAGTCTTAAGGCGTGCCATCGCAGCGCATGGCAGGCGAGACGTGAAATGGCGTGTGCTATACAGGAGTTATTTGTGCTGCGTTGTTAAAGGACTGTGATACCAAATAAAGGTACCAAGCTTAAGCTGGTCTTGTGGGTTTCCTCGTGCCCAGGGAGGCCCCGGTTACGAATAAAGAGGCCCCCGTTCTCAGTTGGGAAGCACCCGCTATATTCAGGAGGCCCCTTCCGTGTATCAGATGGCCCGGCATCCGGATCAGGATGCGCTGTTCACTTGAAATATTTTTAACAGTGTAAGTTTCGTTAGAGTATATTTGAATCCATTGTCATATATTTGAACAAACGTCTTTCAAACGGCTTTGGTGTGATTTGTGAAGTTTCGACTTGAGATGAAGACGATGTCTCAGCCGGGGACGCCCCCGTGGTGGCCGCTCTTCCTGTCAGGGTGGCAGGCGGGCGACGCCATATAACCCCAGCGGGTGAGTGCGTCGTGAATCCCTATTAATGACGACGGCCGGGGACAGCAATTTGTCTTCTCAATGCTGCCAGCCCTAAGCAAAAAAAAAAAAATGTCTGGAATGGAGCAACGCGGAATTTTAGGTGCATTTTCTATTACCATACGTGTTGTGCCCCGCTAACATTCTGAGGCTTAAAGGAAGTCACTGTTCTGGCAGAGATTAGTCTGAAGCCGCAGTCTACAAGTTGGAACCCTCATAACTTGTTTAAGTGTGGACAGATTTAGGCAACATCACAGAAGTGTCCCATCATGTGTGTCATGTGCATGTACTGGTCATTGCACGTGGCTTTCAGGAAGCATCCCGGCAGTGACTTGCCGAACTGACAGAAACCAATAGAGTGTTGCCCCTGAGTGACCGGAGCCGTATGTTTTGCACGATCGCCAACCACACATACGTTATTCGCTGTAAATCTTTCAACACATTTTGACATCTACCCCCCCCCCCCTCCCCACAAGAAAGAGTTTGGTCCGGGGGTCTGAGGAACTAGTATTGAAGATCTCGTGAGCATTACGTCGTTACATTTTCACGGCGTGCTGGAAAATCTGGAAATTTTTCACTCTCTTCAGGCCTGCAACATTTTTATTCCAGGTCGCGTAGAAGCTGCGCATACCAACCCCACGTAAACGCCCAGGGACAGCGCCACCAGAAGAGCAGAGGGAACCGATCCTTCCCTCTTGCCAAGGGGGCAAATTAGCCCCCTGGTGATTATATTTACATACCTCCCCCTGTCCGTTCCTTGCAATGTGAGACACAACGCGCGGGAACCCATCCCTGAAGTCGTCAGACTTGATCGTCTTCTCATGGCCTGCCGCCAGGTCAGCCACAGCTGAGTGCAGTTTCAGCGTGCGACATGGGCTGAAAACTTGCTTTGCTTAATCGTGACCCAGAGGAGGATCGACCCAGCAGCAGCGTCTAACGTGAACGCCTTCGCCTGGATCAAATGGATCCAGTTCATACCGCAGACGCTTTTGCCAGCATAAACGAATTCGGCATCAGGGCACGTTTGGCGGCGCTTAGGACCGCATCTTGAACGGTGGTGGTGCGGCCCCGGAACGATTATGTGAACTCGAACTTGATTGTGTGATCCTCAAGACGTCTGTCGTTGGGATGTTTTATCGACACCGATATAAATAATCAGATTAACTTTGTTTTTACTTGTCCCGAAAAAAGCGTAAGCGCACCCAAGCCAAAATGTAGCTGCGGGATAAAGATACATGGAATATCCCCCTGAAACTTTTGCCATCCTACATACACACGTTTATGCACTGATACATCATATCGCCAACTGGTCTAGGCGGTAAGCTGCACTGAGCTGAGAATAAGTTGCGACATTACTATATGTTTCCGTCAGCATGGAGCAACCGTCGTCCGCTCCCGTTAAAAAGGCAACGGGATGATAGCCATTCAATTATTTCGCCGCCCCCCCCCCCCTTAGTTCCTGCGTCTCATGCTTCATCCTGGCGATGGTGTAACTCAAGACTCATGAGGACTTCGCACAACTACGATCACTTAAGGGAACTTCAGGTATTAAACGCAAGATTTCTCGCCCATTGCTTTTCATTCAAGTGTCGTGATGATATTGCGATTTCATCCCCTTCTCAAAAACTGGTGGCGCTGCCTCTGATGAAGAGCAAATAACTGTCCGGTGGACCAATTCATGCCCAGGGCATGCAGCTTCCAGGCAGGTTATCTCATGATGTGGTGTAGTGTAAGGGAAGACGGTTCGGAAATGGATGCCGTAGCAGGTGTCCAAAATATGGTTAACACACCAATACGTTGTAGGATTGATTTATAAACATGTAGCAAAGCAGCCATGCGATTAGTTTGTAGGCAGTCATGCGGGGGACAGCCGATCCAGGGCAGTTGCCGAAAGGGACCTTAATTCTGTGACTTGGTTTTTACAGAAGAAACTCCGATTTTATGGATTTTGTTACATCGTTTGTGGTTGTTAGTATCTGAAGCTTCCAAATTGGTTTCCGCCTAAGATGCTGCGTCAGTATTATCTCCTGAAATGTAGCCGGCGAAATCTAGGCGCATACAAACTGGCGCGCTTCTGACCATTGACTGGCATTCAAAATTCTGACCAGCCTGTGCCCCGGTCGTATTGTGGCTTCTACCGTAAGGAGGTAGATGTCTCCCCAATGACCCAAAACGCCTACCCGCGTGTGAAATTTCGCCCCCCTCCCTCCAGGAAAGCAATGTTGAAATGGATGAATAATCGCTGGGAGTTGGAAAGTGTTATTTGCTAAATGGCATAGATGAGTCGACTAGGCAAGATCGTGCACCGGCGGAAAGGAGCTGTAGATACATATCTAGCATAGCATCCATAATATGTAATAAGTACCAAAATGCGTTAAGTGAATTGAGAGCGGACAATGCCCTCCACCCCCCCCCCCCCCCCCGCCCCCCACCCCGGCCACCGGGCTTGCCTCCTAGTAAAAGTTCCTTAAGTGTACTTTGAGCTTTCCTCCTCCTCTCACTCTTTGGAACGTTCCTTTTCCCATGATTCAACCGACTTGCTTGATTTCGTTTCTCTAGGCGGCTGACGCGATCGCAAGTGGTGGTCACAGTCGAGATTCACCTCACGTTGCATTACCTCTGAAGTTCAAACTAGCCAATAGGCATGCCCATCCCGTAAAGTATGCTTGAGATAGGTCCAAACAAGTGTCGCGGGCGGGGGCACGGGGCACGTGTCCCTCCTCTTAGGTCCCGAGGGGCCCGAATGGTCCCTCAGTGACTGACGACGACGATCAAGGGCTTGATTGGAAAGCTGAAGGACCCGAAGGGCTGGCTGTGGGTCACATTAGGGATCCCCGCTCGTGGGGCCGTGGCCACAAATGTCTCAGAACCTTTTGACGGGTTGAAAGCCCCCTGGACAGCGCAGGCCCCTGTTTCGACCAGGTTCCACCAACACCGAACAGTTGGCCCTGTGTCGGCCTGGGCCCTGGGGGGCCCGTTGCTCATGCAGGATACAGCAGCGCAGGTACCTGCGATTTGCATTGGTCAGGAGTCCCTGATACAATGAAAAGGCTTCTGTGTCGGCAAGTGTCCCCGAGTCGGCCGAGAACTGTGTTCGAGGAGTCTCGAAGAGGTGCTCGAAGGGTCTCTCGGAACTTAAGATCAAGGGCTCGATTGAAAGGCTGAAGGACCCGAAGGGTTGGCTAAAGGTCACATTAAGGACGCCCGTCCGTAGAGTCGTGACCTCAAATGTGCTCCGATTCGGGAAGAGGAACATTTGCTGAATAGAGACAGGGATGGGACTCCCAATGTCAGATGGCCTCTTGCGTTGGTCGGGGCCCTCTGACAATTGAAAAGAGAAATGAAAACCCATTATGGGAGTCCACAATGGAACAATGGAGCGTCCCAGATAGGGCCCCCAGTACCAAACGAAAGGCCCTCCACCCCCATTTAAGCCAAAACCCGTCAAGCCAAACTTGAGTTTCGGTGCCCATCATTGAACCACCTGAGGCGATAATGGATCTTGTTGCGTCAATGAGGGCTCCTTCGTCGACCCCGGGGCCAATAAACAGGGTCAGAGGACCTCCAGCGTCAGGGGGACCAGTGTCTGATGTATCACTTCGAGGGCGTCCGTACTGACTAGAGGACCCCCCCCCCCCTCCATGTCTCCATGAACGGCTGTACATCCTCCCGACCCCAGAACCGTGGATCGCAGTCGTACGCTGCCGAGTCCCGTAGCAGCCAAATGTGCTCCGAACATACGAATGTTATGAGCACCACCTGTGCTCCGAACATGCGCATGTTGTGAGCACCAACTGTGCTCCGAACATGCCCATGCTGTGAGCATCAACTATGCTGTCAACATGTGCATGTTGTGGGCACCGACTGCGCTCCGAACATGTACGTTACTGACAGCCAATGCGAGGGCCGCCGCGCAAGCTGCCTTGCGCTTTTGCACAGACCGGAAAGCCCCCACGACAGCAGAACAGACTCTCCGGAACGAATACTCCACATTGACCAGTGAAATAAAAATCGTAGCCTTGACATCGGGGCCGACAGACTGGCCAATAGACCGGAGATGACCATAGACAACGCTAGACAGAGCCTAACCCGGCGGGTGCGGCGGCAAGTGCAGGTGATCTTCGACCGACTGGCCGGAGGCCGCGTCCGCCCCGTCGGCCCAGTCGGGAGCGTGCGGCCATCCCCGATGCCTGCGAGCAGCGGTGCGCCGCCACCGCCGGCACCGACGACCCAGGACCCGGCTCCATCCGCCACCATACCACGCCGGCGGCGACGGCGCCGCAGCGCCGGTGGCGCCGCCTAGTGGGAGATCAGTCGCCGACGGGCAGCGACCGGCAGCTGGCGCCACTCGCGCTCCATGTACGGGCTTTACAGTAGGTCTTTGGAGAAAGGTTCGCGTGGAAAAAATGCGTATGCATGAAGTACGTGCGCAATTGCTCATAAAAATGTGCATAAGGAACAAATTATGTATGGCGGAAGAGCACACGCAAAAATGCGTATGCAAATGTTTGCATATAAATGTTCTCACAAGTTATAGCGTAAGTAGGCGAGAGTGGGGTGAGTTGTATCATGTCCAAGTAGCATCAGAGTGGTTTGTTCCAAATCTATGCGATAGTTGGCAGCCTTAAG